GTATACTACTCTAACTAAGCGCTGTCCAGACTCTAATTTTAAAAACATGTGACATGCCTAAATATGGTCATGATGACATCACATCATAACCATATATAGGCACATATGACATCACATCATGACCATACAGTATGTAGGAGCATCATGACCATATATAGGCACATCATGACACCCATGACATCACATCGTAACCATATATAGGCACATCATGACTATATATGGGCATAGCAGTTTTTTTTGTAAAAAAAAATAAATTGATAGTTTCGACAGAGCTTACTCCAACAAAATACAGGAAGTAAGCCATAGAGTGCTCTGACAATAGGCTGTATACAGTTTCACATTATAAGTAGTAAACACAGTATTAATAATGGCCAACTTCCTGATTGATGAACAATGATGGAAGGCTATATGCGCCCACATCTGTCTTTTTGTGCAACATGGATTCTTATACTCATAACTTCTACAGCAACTTCAAGTCATACTTGATGTTGTTCCGGAGATAAACATGCTCATAGACCACATTCTGTTGTATTGTAACATCCATGGTATTGTTCTGTGAATCATTTCACATACGGTATTTGAATGCATTGAAATTAAATTATTTATGGTAAAAAATTAAATGACTTAATACATTTGCTAAACTATTACTGAAAAATGTATTTTTTTAAAATTTATAAATGTAGCTACTTTCAACTAGGAAACTGTCAGATCTGTCATAGAGATAGCACCCCTCCCCCACTTTCCTCAGCTCATCCTCCGAAAGAGAACCGCTACTGCCAAAAGTTGTCTTGTAACATTGCATCACTGAATCGGTGTAAAGAAATTAAATTACCGGTACATTGATTACTGGATAACAATGTAATATCAAGGAGAAGTATATAACCCTCCTTGATAATATATACAATTACTGTAGACTACAGGAATGTTGGCCATTATATCATTGTAAAGCAATTAGTGCCACATTGATTGTTTTGATATGTTTTGATCAAGTAGAATAATAAGCTGATAGCTGTGTATAATTTGCTTGATGATTTTAGCCTTCAGTGGATGTGCTCTACAGTGAGTGAGCACAATAAGTTAGAACTGTTAAACCAAGGTCTCAAAAAATGCACATACTACACGTATTACATTATTTAATAGATGAAGGTGTGAGTAGTCCTACTAACACATGTTCGTAATTAATTCAATTCAATTCAACATTTATTTACTTCCTTTTTTAACAAAGATAAATAATACATAATACAGGATACCTTTCTTATTGTACACAACTATTTGTGTTTTCATTAATAAAATATAATTTTATGTAAGTAAAAGTAGAATAAATAATAATTATATCATGATATTGATAAAGTCGGGCACTCACTGGGTTGTATGATGTTCGTACGCCCATCGCACAACGAGTCCAACTCCTTTCCGTTTTCCGTGTGAGCGCTAGACGACACGATACCCGTCTGCTTATTGTCGGTGGCAGTCTGAGTGGATCGTCATTGAAAACGATCTGTTGTGTGCACGTAGTGGCGTTGCGTTCTTCAGAGAATCGAGTCATCCTTCTGGTAGTGAATTTAGCAGTACACTAGGAGACAAATCTCCTAATCTTTTCCAAAAAGTGTACTGTGTCCTTTAACGTGCACAGGGGCCATGTTGTACAAGGACCAACGGCTTAAACATCTCATCCGAAAGACAGTGCACTTGCATTTCAGCCCTCCAGCTAAAACACAAGTAGAGCAGCGATGCGAATTGAACCGGGGACCAGGAGATCTCCATGGTTCAGCGCACACACAGTGGGTACCACCAGTTTAGCAAACTGTGGTAGCTGCTCTCATTGAGTAAATATGGTCTCACTTTCTCTGCTTGGAACTTTAGTTTTATTTTATTCTAGTGCACCTTTTGGAATATATATCATCCCTTTATTTTACAAATAATAAAAATTTCAATTTACTAAAACCAGGCATTGTTTTCAAATGCATAGGACTACAGTTTATATTTCCAAATGATTGAAATAAAATGATCCTGTAAATATTCATTCAAAATTCATTCTTGTTTTGAGGGAATCAATGTAAATGCCTCTATCAGGGATGGATCCAGAATTTTCAGACAGGGGGAAGGGGTGGGGGGACAGCAGTTTCAGAATAGATAAGTGAGCATAAGCACATAGCATTGATAAGCATTGAAATTTGAATCCTACTGGAAACGCGCCTGCTTCTGCAGGCCTCTACGCAGTACAACTTGCCATATTTCCTGGAATAAAGTGTAGCATAACTTTTTATGGTGATAATTCTCTTTCAATAACTTCTTGTGGTTTTGTATTTGTTTGTAAATGGAAGCGGAGTAGACTGTTATTCCTTTTCTTTTTCCTTTGACCGTGTTTATGTGCTCAATCCTGACCACTATGGCAGTTGGTTTGGGAGGTTTATAGATTAAAAATTTTAGGCTACACTTTTTTTTTTATAAGAACCAGTAAAATTTCGGTCTTCTTATTTTTTGGCCGATTTCAGGCTCAAAAAGTTCTTAATTTGTTCTTATTTTACACACTTTTCAAACATAGAAAATTATTATTGTACAGCAAAAATGGGCCCTGAAAAAAATGCCCTGGAAAAATTGCCCCAGAAAAAAGGCCTGGTAAAAATAGCCCAAAATGACAGTACACTTAATTATAGGGGGTATTACATAGTCACATCTACATTACTGCACATAAGGTACAGATATAATTTTTTGGTTTTTCAAAAACCTCATTTGACAATTTACCTCAGCCTCAATTTGTTCTTATTTTGTTCTTAATTTTTAAGCAATTTCAGCCTCAGTGTTCTTATAAAATGTGTTCTTATAAAAAATAAAAAAAAGTGTATTATTTATAGGCCTACAGTGTTGCGTAAAAAAATCTAATCTTCCAAGTGTCTAACCTACTATCTATCTATTCCAAGGAGCCCATCTGCCCTTTGAAGTTGATTTTTTTTCGTGCTCCTGGAAGCAATACACCCTCCCCACGGTAGTCACCAGGCGAACTTGTATGATTGCCAAGACAAGCGGTAACCTTAATTGGATACACAAGGTTACAAAAACAATTGAATGTGTGTGAATCATCATTCAGATACATAATTAATTAATTGCGGTAATCATCTTTAATTGTTACATTTTATAAATTTATGACAATACAGTATTACTAAAAAATTACTCCAAAACGAACAACCAAATGGTAAATGAAATGTCTTGAGTTCCTGATGGGCAAATATGTTTTCAAAAAATTAATTGTGATTGAAGTTAGTACTAGAGCCATGCCATTGTGTCACTATCCAAGTACCGTAGCTCTCTGTACAAGACAATTGAAAATTATACTGAATCGAAGTCATAAGCAAAGCAAAATATGATGAAATCATCACACACATTATGGAATTTACAATAAATGTAACATGTAATTCAGGTATGACATGGCTATAATAATTTAAGAAGGGAATGAACAAAAGAGTAATGAATGGAATAGAACGAAGGGCAGTATGTTCTCCATTGTTTAGTGCACACACTTTGGTTAGCTTCAGTTTTAACCAACTGTACAAAGCTGATCTCTTGTATTAGACATTGATATAACTATGTAAACAGAATGCCAAACATCAGTGACCATAAAGTTTTATGGCAGAAATCATCAATTTAGTTTACATATGCAGATTTGCTGGTACATTAAATTAAATTGGTTTATGAGATTAAGGTATAGGACAGGTGTTCTTTCTTCCTTATCCAACAAGAAGCCAATAACAATATGAATATTAATGCAATTGGTTTACTGTAGTACTCCACACAATAATAGGCAATTCTTTGAGGGCACTGTTGGAAAACAGTGACCCTTAAGGCAATTTCAAATTATCTGAGTTTTTCGGGGGATTTGCACATCAGGGGATATTGGATTGACCGCCTGTCAAGAAAATCTTGGTGCCACCAATGTCATACCAGGGATGGGCTCCTGCACTCCCAGAAAATAACATACCTCCTGCAAAATCATTTGAATGTTTTTACTACAGCTTTAATATCAATTGTCTCACAGAAGTCAGTGCTGATGGGTAATCACCATGCACAGCAAAATACAATTAATTTCATTAGGAAAGCTCACTTAACCAGATCTCCCGGAAAGGATTTCTTCCAACTTGCGACCCCTGTAATACTCATGATATGTAATAACTACCAATAACACATATGCATCTTGTACACTGATAACAGGGTAAGAGATACTCCAATATGAGTTGGCCCATATGAATCAACATGGTGTCATTTGTCCTTATTAGAAATACCTGTTAGAGGTCTTATATATAAGTTCATTACCATGGAGATCAGGTATTCCTATTCCTTTCCTGGATTTTTAGGGACCATGTAAGAAAATGTTGCAAGCGCAAAAAAATTACAACTACAGTACAATACAATCTAGGAAGTTTGTAATACAGTACACGCCCAGTGGCGTATCCAGGATGTCGAAATAGAGATGGTCCAGCACCCAGGGAGAAACTTTCACAGATGGAGGGTCGCCCCACCATGGTTGGGAGTGAGGTATTAAATTTATGATTATGGCAACTCTAGACTTTAATTTGATTAATTTTTTTTTTTCCCTTATTTTTTAAAATAATTTTTGAAAAATTTAGGGGACGTTCTCCCCTTCCCCCCCACCTTCCAACTAAATCTGCCACTACCCCCTTGTGTGCACTTTAGCTCCATTGCTTCATTCAACCTAGCTGTATCAATGGGTACCAGCAAACTACTGGGGACTAACCTGCGACAGACTAGTGTACCGTCCAGGGGAGTACAACTCGCATCCGCTTCACACTACTGAAAAGCACAAAGAGAACACAAATGGGAATTGAAGTGGGGACCTGGAAATCTACACGGTTCAGCGCACACAGTAGCTGCCACCAGTTTAGTCGACTGGGATAAGCACTTTCTACATTAGATTGGTAATAATAATGATGGTGATAATAATGATAAATTTTATAATTTATATTGTATTCTTGTTTTTGAATTAGATGGATTCCAAATACAACCAAGGCGATGCTGATAAAGCTGTAAGGTGGATGAATGCCATTCTTCAGCAAGGAGGCAAAGACCGAAACGTTGGTCAAACATCTTCGTCTACACAACTACAAGAAGAATTAAAAAATGGAGTAATACTTTGTGAGTAAGTATCATGCGAGTGCAATAGGCCTTTCCCAAGTGTCAATCAAACTGAACAACTGACCAATCAGAAAAGTGCCAGGCATATTGTCTCACAAACACATGTGGGAACTTAGCAACGATATCCAAGGGGCGGAGCTTAGTGGACAATTTTTTTTATTTAATTATTTTGCTATAGAAACATAATTCTTAATATAAAATAAAATTTGTTTTTGATTAGTTTAACAAACTCTTAGAACTTTATTGTAGTAAAAAAAATAAATAAATAAATAATTCCAGCCAATTGAATGATCTATGCATATAGTTAGGAAATTGGGTATTGCCGAAGAATTTCTTTATTTTCCATATAAGGTAATTGATTGTTGATGTTGAAACCATACAACATAATTAATCCTGAATGTTTCACAAGTTGCATCAATAAGGCTTGTTCACTAACAATGATTTGGAGGAGATATCAAAACTGGAATAAAAAAACCAATACCATTAACAGAGATCAAAAAGGACATAAGTTATCATATGATGGGCTAATTTCAAGGAGGGGGAGACAAGGAAGAGTTAAAGAAGATGATTTAACCAATATATTTGATACATTTAACCATGTATTGTTACTATTTTACTAAATAAAATAAATAGGGTGAATGACAGTTGACAATGAACCATATATTTATACCAGGTGTAAGCCGGTGCAGACTATCAAATTTTATTTGTGTGTGATAGTGTGTGACATGTCTAAATATGGTCATGATGGCATCACATCATGACCATATATAGCCAGACCATGACTATAAATGGACATACAACAGTTTTTTTGTCGAAGAAAATTTGATAGTGTGGACGAGTGAAAACCAATTTTCCTTTAAAATTGCTGACCTACTGTACACTGATTTTCATATTTCTCTGTTCTAGGCCAACACAATTTTTGTTTTTGCCTAATTACTGTACTGGTATTTTTTTTTCTTTTTTCTTTATTCCAGAGTAATCAATGTGCTGCAACCAAACAGTGTAAGAAAAATAAACGAGAGCAAAATGGCATTTAAAATGGTTAGTCTTTTATTTTCCTGCTTTAACCATATTTCTTTCATACAAAGTTTTATAATGATTAGCCGTATTCGACTGATTTGTTTCATTAATTAATATAATTTAGATTAAATTTCAGAAAATAATAATTATATTTACCCACATAATGTGAAAAAGTAAATGTAGGCAAACAGAATCCAAAAACTGCGTGGAAACTTTTTTTACGAAAACCCCCATAAAAACCCAAAGCAATGTTGATTACGCCAGTGTGTATCGCGGTAACTACGCATTCATTTTGTTTTGAGCATTAACCAGTTTTCTATTTGTCTGGTCATCTTCTTTAGTAGGATTTTACCACTGCGCAGGTAGATGTCGATTAACAAAGAACGACCAGTCGAATATGGCCATTGATTAGGAAATCATTGAGAAGGACTATACTCATTCTAAATAATATTTCATCAGGGTAACTCTAGCCACAATGATGACACACAGGCCCCTCAAACAATAGTAGGGAGTTTTTGAATTTATTCGATGATCCAACACTAGAATGGAATCACTCATGACCATCCTACAGGGCATCCTACGTTCTCTTGCATATGTCGATTTGGCCAAATTGCACCCTAGAATCCATGCGATTGTTATCATGTGCGCAGATGACTTTTAATGACGTCATTACGTTCTACCGTCGTGCAATATAAAGCTTCCTAATAATGTGTTTATTGGCTAAAAATTGTCTTATAAAACCTACAGATCATTTCTACGATATTTTTTTATTTTTGATCATCCAAATTATATATGTAAGCAGGGGTGGTGGGAATTTTTCAAAACGGGGCTAGGGAGGGGAGGGGGTTTTGATGTCCTCAACGAGAGTGAAAGTGGGCGTGGTCAGACATTGCTCAAAATCTGACAGAAGTGGTAGAGTGGCCAATTCATGGACTTAGTGGATCAACAATTAAAATGTGAAATCAAAAAAGGTTTCTTTTATATTACTGTAGATTATTGACAACACATAGAATGTAAAGTCTTTTATTTGACAAAAACATATGACATGCCTAAATATGGTCATGATGACATCACATTGTGACTGTATATGGGCATGCAACCATATTTTGTTAAAGAAAATTTCATAAATTGGACAGGGCTTAATGAAAATGGTTTGATGCAGATGAATTTTTTTCAATAATCATTTTTTATTTATTAACTTATACAGATGGAAAACATAGGAAATTTTCTTGATCAGAGTGCTAATTATGGCTGCAACAAAACAGATATGTTTCAAACGGTTGACCTTTATGAGGGTCAGAATATGGCTCAGGTAAGCTAAATCTGGGTTCTCCAGACTATCAACGTTTATTCAACAAAAATATATGACATGACTAAATGAGGTCATAATGACATCACATTGTGACTATATATGGGCATACAACTTTTTTGTCGTCTGGTCGTATATTTTGCCAATTTAAAGATGCAGTAATAGTTCTGGTCCTATAAATTATTTTTAGAATAGAGCCTTAACTTGGCTAGAAATTTTAAGATTTTCAAGTTTAAGTTTGTATATGCCTAATTAAAAAAATCCAATATTTTACAGGATTTTTTATGGATCTTATGGATGGTTTTGATCTTTATTTAAAAAAATTTTCATCTATTGATTATTACTTTTTATCCCCGCGGGCCAGACTAACTTGCTCTTCGGGCCAGAATTTAAGAACAAGGGGATTTGGCACTGCATCACAACCAATTAATTGTGTGTTACCATGGAGGTATAAAATATAATTTTATACATCCATGGTGTCACATACCATAGAAAAAAATTATTGAGGATGGTACATTTTCAATGTAATTTGCATGATTCAAATGTTATTGCATGGGGTGCAGTGGTAAATGATTGTGTTTTTTCCAATTCTAGGTCGTCAATGGTATATTAGCTTTGGCCTCAAAAGCAGCTTCAAAAGGTGTCACCACTGATGTTCAAGTTGCAAAATTAGCAGAGGCAAACAAACGAGAGTTCACCGAAGAGCAAATAAAGGAAGGTCAGAATATCATTGGTCTACAGATGGGAACAAACAAAGTGGCGTCGCAGGCGGGCATGACTGGTTATGGAATGACCAGACAGATTAATCCGAGATAACTAATTTATAGTCAAACATCATTGGCAGTTTTGTGTTGCCTATAGAAACCTATAAGCTTACACATGGTTAAATAAACATGATAGTGTTAAGTCTTCTCAGTGTAATTTCGCTTCCTTTTTGGTCATTTCAAATTATGGTAGTACCCTAATAAACCAGTTAGGCCATCGTAGACATTGAAATTCACTGTTTTGATAAACTGTTCTCCATGAAAACCAGTTGAAGACACAGGCCTCCAAGAATGTCTAGTAAAATTTGACCAAAAAAGAGATTATTATATAAAACAAATATTGTATAGTTAGGTTTTTACAAATGGGTTGTACTTGCATTAGTCTAGATTATAATTAACATGCAGTTAAATTAAACTATGTTCTATCCTTCTTTATTTGTAGATTGGACCAATATTTCCATTCCATGTCTTTGTCTTGTTTTCTTGTGTTTTTACACTAAAACATCTAACATATATACTTTCAATCAATTTGGATATATAACATTTTGACCAATTTACATTTTCTGTCCTTGTGACCTATGACTAATTAATTTCACCAGTTTCCTGTTAGAAATAATAAACTGACCCTTCAGGGTCTCATCTAGAGACTACCTTCTTTACTGACATACTTCAGTGAGTCAAATTCATTTGGTGCCAAGAATAGAAAATCAAACTGCAACTGGGATCACATTTTGTTTTAAATACTGTATTGTTTTTTCAAAGATTTATGAGAAGATTTAGTTTATGTAGAGCATCATTTATAGCATATTATGTAATGAAAACAAAGTTGAAAAATGTTACTCTAACTACTACTCATAATTTATGTTTACTACTCTCTTTTTATTGATCCCCCATTTATAACATAAGAACAACTGGGATCATAGCATTCTATAACTATTATAAACAAATATAATATCTAGTGATGGAATTTCTTTAAATCTTTTGTGTATCAAATTTTAAGAAACCATGTTAATGCGTCAGGAATGATTAAACATTGTGTGTGAATAGGACTATTTTAACAAACAATAAGGAAATAAATACAAAAGTAATTTCTTGTAACAACTTGAAGATTCTGAAAGAAATACAATGTTCCAACTTGAAGATTCTGAAAGAAATACAATGTTATTTAACTGTACTGCCTGTTTATTTACATTATTTTCTACCTGTTGTGTAATAAGCCTTGTCGATCATGTTTAAAAATTTATTCTTTTTTGTTTTTCATTCAACGTAAAAAATAGTCAGATGTGCTAATTAGTAAACATTAAAGGATGTATTAAAATAGCTTTGGTATATGCAAGCTGTAGTATTTCGGTTCTTGTTTCCAGTGGTGTATAGCTAAGAATCCAATTGTACAGTGCGTTTTAGGTGATTCCATTACTGCATGCGTTGTTAAAGGCCCTTTTTCATGAATTTCACCACACCGCACGACGGGCTGAAATCAAAACAGATGAATCGCTCCATTGAGCTATTGAAATAAGTGCATGCGGTTATGGTTACATAATGTAACCACACTAATGGAATCACTCTTGTGATATATCGATTAAATACACTGCACCACAGTGGCAACCGGACAATGGATTCCTAGCTTATCTAGGAGTATTGAAATGGGAGGGGTGCCTGATGGGGGTTGCGAAGGTGAATGGAGCCGCAATGGCAACTCAACAAATGGATTCCTAGCTTATCTAAGAGTATTGAAATGGGAGGTGAGAATGGAAATGGGGGAGTCTGATGGGAGTTGCAAGGTGAATTGGGGGATGGATTATTAAGTGAGGGGCACTAGCTCGCAAGATAAGATGATATGAGATGATTTTTATCTGCTGTACTTGAGTGTGAATTTTTTTGCTTCGAACATTTTCAATTGGGCGCAACTAGGGGCGGAGGGAAAATTTGTTAAGGGGAATGTGTCCCTACACCCCATATATATATATGTATATGTATATATGTATGTGTATTGGATACCTTGTAGTTGAAACTCTCAAACCTCCATCAGGGACTATACTGGAAGTGACGGGAGTGGATTGCATAAAGATATTATTAATTAAAGTGCTCTAGAAAGGGGTTTGATTTAAAGTGCTCTTGGACAGCATTTTTAAAAGTGGTTATCGACGATTTGTTTACAACTGACTGCGGTAAGACATTCACGAACACGAAGAGGTGGCTTCTGGGAAGAATGACTGAATGAAGGCCCGGGTGTGAATGTCTGCTGGTAGGATAATGACATACTAGGGCACTCAAGCTTTAGGGTGTCCTGGGTGTCTGTCGAGACAACCTCTCGCACTCATGCGAGGAAACATGATTCCTTCTCTGGAAGTCGGTTCCGATAATATATACATTGTGAGAAAATAAATGATAATTATAATGAATAAAAATAATGTATCAGTTGCATAATACAAAGGCCCCTATTACCGTCGGATATAACCCCAGTTGCTGAATCATGGAATAAGCGCTCATCTCGCTCTGAAGTATCCACCCTTATTTAAAGAACCAAATGAACTTCAATTTGTTCACACAAATCTAACCCTCTGATTGGAGACCGTCACCACCCCAAATCTTCATTTACCAACTGCATTTTATATGCTCCATAATATGGATAAATTGCCTTGCTCAAGGATGTGTGATTAGTCTCGGAGTAGAACCCCCGATTTTTCAATTTGAAGCCCAGAGTCGGTTCTGATGTGTAACACAATGCGCAGAAAAATAATATTTAATGTGTATAATAATATTAATATTTATTAATTAATATATCATTGTGAGAAAATAAATGATAATTATAATGAATAAAAATAATTTATCAGTTGCATAATACAAAGGCCCCTATTACCGTCGGATATAACCCCAGTTGCTGAATCATGGAATAAGCGCTCATCTCGCTCTGAAGTATCCACCCTTATTTAAAGAACCAAGTGAACTTCAATTTTTTCACACAAATCTAACCCTCTGATTGGAGACCGTCACCACCCCAAAGCTTCATTTACCAACTGCATTTTATATGCTCCATAATATGGATAAATTGCCTTGCTCAAGGATGTGTGATTAGTCTCGGAGTAGAACCCCCGATTTGTCAATTTGAAGTCCAAAGATCTACTGATGCTCCATATGCTTCCAATGTCAACGGTGACAAATTTGTGTGTGGTGATGATGGTGTTGACAATGTTTGATGGTAATGCAGTGGCGTATCTAAAAGTCTTGAATTGGGGGTGGGGGCTCGATGATTAGTTGAGGGCACTAATTCGCAAAATATGGTGATATTTAACTAATTGACCGTGATTTTTCAACTGATCATCTAGACCCCTACTTCGCCCCCCCCCCCATCAGGTCCCCATTTGAAGACATCTAGATACGCCAATGACGTACATGGCCAGATGAATGAAAATACTCAATCGACGTGCCACCAAATCTTAACGAGCCTTCACCATGCCCTCACGACGATGTCACCGGAGATACAACTGCCAAAAAAATATTTTTGGCAGCGATGGGACGCTACCAATAAACAGTCAACAACTACCTGGTTTCTGGGTTGGATTTGCAAGGTAATACATGGCTCAACTATTTTTTACTTAGGGGTTAATTGGTAAAAATCGCACACAAATCATACGACGTCACTGACAACGCCGGGGACGGCAACTCGATTTTGAGATTAATTTTCCGAATAAAGTTATATTAAATAACTTCTAATGACGAACTATTGTCTTCAGTTGACTTTATTGGTCATTCAACTGCCATTTTATCAATTTTTTCGGTGATAATACCATTCTCAATAATCTATAAAACACCCACATACTATAGCAACGTCACGTTAGATCGATCGGTGGGGACGCCGCACAGTGGGCAAGACTGAAGTCAAAGTGTGCCAAAATTAATTACTCATTACAGAAGTTAATCTAAGCGAATATAAGATCCATGTAGAGGTTTTCATACCCGTAGAATTCAATAAAAGCATTTTCAAATCAATATGACGTCATTGTTGTACTGTTTTCTGATTGGACGATATCAGTTTTCATTGTAACACCAAAACAAGTTCATATTGCAATGATTTTTTAAATGTGTAAGGATGTTTGGGATAAAAGAACCCCTGTGGAAAACTTTTTTTGTTTTCTATGACATCATCAAAATGCATTTTTCTGATTGGACGGGGACAAAAGTGTTTTAGGCATAGGCCAACATTTAAAAAAAAATCTATTGTTAATCTTACAGTGAATATAAATTTTTTTTTTTTAATAAATCGAAATCGAAATCAAAATTCATAATCAGACAACCTAATTTGACATTTTTAAATGTAAAATGTGTTTACATCTGGGAATCCATGGAATTCTCAGACGTTAGGCCTACACCAATATAATGATATGCGGTATTAATTCCGTCCTCAATCATAGGCCTATATTGTAAAAGTATCGATAATGGTCGTTTTATATTTTTTGATAATTCTCAGCTGTGTGAACGAGGAGGCTTTGAAAAGGAACTTTATGGTTCTACAAAATATTGCTATCTACCAGGATAGGATGCTTTTTTGCAACTCTTATTTTGGTGTAATTAAGGAGGGGTCTCATTTTGTTATGGAGCTACAAAGATATGGACAATATTTCATCTGTCGTGAACGATTCCGATTTGCGCCTCAGGGGTGACGCCAACGGAGGGGGGGGGGGCAGGGTCCCCGTCGAGGAGAGCCCTCCCCTCCCCCCACCTGACGTTTGGGGAGATAAACTACCAGTACAATTCGTCGGAGAGAAATAAAATGTGTATGTATTTTCTACATAGAACGCCCCTTGCAATGCTGAATAAGTTCAGTGCGTACATTTTATGTCAACATCTCTTGTACTTTACCCTTGTGCGAACTCTCTGGAAAGATCCTCCCATACTTCGATAGGACGTCCCGGTTGCGAGTCCCGGTTTGGGTTGTTTTTAAGTCTCTAGTGGGATTTCTGCTGGTGTGGAAAGAATATCTCTGTTCTGTGTCAAAACATTAATAACTTCATTAGAAAATGGAATCCTGTTTTCAAGCCACGAGGTATTTTTAGAAACCCAGCAAACACGTGTTTACGTTTACACAACGTTGTAGGAACGTGCAAACGTTGTGAAATTATGTTCAGTACGTATTTATGGTTCTACAAAATAAAGTTTTCAACACACTACTGTAATGTTATTGTCACGTTATCATAACGTATTATTGTTTGCTGATAAAGGTCGTTACTACTCACGTAGTAGCTCACCTCTCCGTAAGAGGAAACAGGAAGCTTTTCAAAGTCTTGGATGTCTTTGAATAATTTTAAAAACAATTGACGCCTAGATATAGACCTTCTTGTAGATATAATCTTAATTATGATATACCATATGATATTTGGATTATTACACTGCTCGAAATTTACTAAAGTATTCTAAACAGCAACAAAATATTGGAAGATTTGCTCACTGTTAAATCACGAGCAGTTTGTCAATTTTTGGAGTCCTTTTCCCACGCTTTGCATGAACTGGTTGAGTAGACGCGCGTACATCTCTCCTGATTGTGGCTTGCTCTAATTAAATTGTGTCTCAAATTGTGTACGAAAACAAGACTGATAAAAGTGCATCTAGCTCGCAAAGTTGCAAAATGTAGCAGCTAAATTTGGTACCATCATAAAGCTAAGGCTATACTGAAGATGGTGATATAAAAATTAAAGCATGATTCCACATGAATCTAAACTTCCTCTCCTACTTTTCTAAAAATAGATTTTTAAATATTTTTTCTGTCGTTTAAACATCGATTTATTATTGATGCAAACTTCAAATTTAAACCAAAACATATATTTTTGTTCCCCAATTTATATACAAGAAACGTGTAAATTTTGAAGTAATTCCGAATTTTCTGTAAGAAAAAAATCGTGTTTTGATATAATGTAGTCAAATATAGCATTTGAAATATTTATAGAGAAATTTCAGTTGTTTTTTGAAGAAAAATACCACCCTTCGTTTAAATGTAAAATATTTTCAGGATAGATTCACCAGGGTATACCCTTCTTCAATCATGTGAAAAAAAGGTATAAAAGCCATAGTCACCAAAATGGACTTTTGGCACACTTTGATTTCGCCCTGACCCACTGTGCGCCGTGCTGACGCCGGTAGGGTCAATTTTCGTCGGAAGTTATCAAGATGATAAACAGCTTCATTGCACTAAATTCTTGCTTATACATGCTTACCTAAGATTATACTGACACTGGTTTCAAATCACGGTCAAGTAGTTAAAAATCACCTATAATCACCTTATTTTGCGAATTAGCGCCCCTCAACTGGTCATCGAGCCTCCCCACTTCATCTTCGACCCCCCATCAGCCCTGTCTCTTATTTTCAAGACATCTAGATACGCCACTGACTTACATGGCCAGATGAATGAAAATACTCAATCGATGGGCCACCAAATCGTAACCAGCCTTCACCATGCTGTCACGATGTCACCGGGGACGCAACTGCCAAAATACTATTTTTGGCAGCGAAGGGATACTACCAATAAACAATCAACAAACTACCGGGTTTCTGGGTTGATTTGCAAGGTACTACATGGCTCAACTATTTTCGACTTAGGGGTTAATTATTAAAAGTTGCACACAATTCCTACGACATCACTGACAACACCGGGGACGGCAACTCGATTTTGAGATTAAATTTCAGAATAAAGTTATACTAAATAACTTCTAATGACGAACTATTGTCTTCAGTTGTCTTTGTTAGTCATTCAACTGTCATTTTATCTATTTTTTGGTGATATTACCATTCTCAATAATCTATAAAACACCCACATAACAACGTCAC